AAGTGACAAAAATCATCACTTGAATGTAGAGGGACAATTTAAACAGGTTAGATTCAAGCTGGATTACTGCAGCTCCACTGGCCACATTCAGCTACACAGTAATCAGCCTGGCCAAGTATTTAACATCAGAAACATAAATAATGTAAGGATTTTATTTTCCAAGTTTGGGACAGAATTGTGAAACATCTGGTCCCTTTTCAATTATTCTTACATGCACACAAGCTAAAGTCACTAGTTTTGACTAGAGCAATAGTACTGGTCATTTCACAAATGTACCAGTGGTAGAGGACAGAAAATGTTCCCAAGTCTGTAATAATGTATAGGGCTGAAGACATAGAAGGAGAAAGAAAGGAACACCTGCCATTTTTCAGTGTTCTCAACAGCAGGAAACTGAGACTCCCAGATGTATGAAAACACCAGTTCATTGATACTTTTATCTATAGGTTTCTCTTTTTTTAAGCCAAACATGTTTGCCAAGTGAGTCACAAGGATTCTTCATTTGTAAAAGATGTACAAGGTGTGGCACAAACCAGTCTGGCCTTGGCCACTCAGTGCTGTCCTGAGAACCAATAATGGAAACTGGGTCTGCTGAGTCTGGTCTACTGCTGTGTCTGCAAAGCACCTTTTTAGCTGATCTCAACACCTGATGATTATATACAAGATTTTCACACTTTGAAAGGTACAAACAAATCCACAGTTTGGGGTCTAAGACCATTCCCCATTAATAGTACTTTTAAAAGCAGCCACTAAAAAGCGATCATAAGGAGTATGGAAGCAATGGCACAGCAGCCTTGTACAGACACAAATGTGGAACTCTTTGCCCCTTTTTAAATGGCTTGGTGACCACTGCTACCACTCTTGTAAGCTATTGTAAGTGTGCACCTTAATAATATAATCCGGCATTACATATTTTCAGGAATTAATCTCATAGTCAGATGCTTTGTGTCATGCAGTAGCATGAGAGAAGTCAAAGCAAAGTGTATAAATCCCCTTCCTGAAGTGTGTAGTTACAACTTGTGTTGTTATCTGAAGTACTTGAATTAGCAACTTCAGGACTCCACTCTCAAAGATTATAAAATGTTTTAATAAACATGCCAGGTCTGATGAGAGAAAAGTGAAATACACACTAATAGCATCTAAGAGTAAATACTTATGAATCCAAATGTTGTATTACTTGGGAGTAAACAAGAAAAGTAAGTCTGAAAGAATATGATTAGGCTGTGTATTTTGAACACCACTAAAGCATACATGTCTCCAGAAGAGTTTGTAAGTTTGCAGATTTCTGAAAATATAATTGTTTTTGTTGTCTGTAGCAGCAAACTCCACAGGCAACAGTTGTTCAGGTGTAGACTTCTGAAAGTTCCAAGGTATATGTAGTTAAAATAAAGAAGGAATAAAGTTTTAGTTATCTAAAGGGAGAAGTGCTAGGGTTGTTGAGTAAAACTTTTCTAGCTCTTTAAAACTGCTGAGCTCATATAGGTCAGCAACCTGAAACAGATCTCAAGAACAAGATTAAAAGGCAACAGCAGTGCAGACTTTCTGAAGTGATACAGTCATCATTTAGAACAACAACATTTTGTTAGTCTCTGCAGCTGTTCAGTTTTGAGACTCTCTGCTGGAACTGGCAATAGTCATTGCATATTCCCTTGGGATAAGACTAAACCCCACTATTCCATTTTAGATGTATCACCAAATAGCGGTTATGGGGCATCTGCCATTGCATCAGATGAGATTCAATATTCCAGAAATGAAAAAGTCCCTGTCTCTTAATATATTCCCTGTTCAATTGCTCAATATTTCTTGAAAATTAACACATAAAATGGGCATAATGATATTGCATGTATTTCTAGCATTACTAATACACGTGGTCCTCCTCTGTCATGTAGTAGAGACGTAGCGTATCGATTACTATGTGTGTATACACACATAGATGTTTCCATTAAAACGGATAAAGAACCGCAAACTGGGTGGAGGGTTATCATCTGTTTGCAGAACTTAGAGGGCATAGAGCCAGTTTGCAAAATTCTACTCACTTACTGAAGTAAAAAATGTTTTTTTTTCCTGTTTGTTTTTAAGTTTAATAGACATGTGTAGTCCTGATAATAGTAGCTGCCTGGGACAGTAGTTTTTGCATAGGGGCTGGTACATTTTTGTTAACAATTTGCAAGGCTGGAACACATTCACAAGGAGTTGTATCATCTGTGACAAATATCTGGATAATATTTTTCATTTTAGAAGTAATCTAAGTATAATTCAAGTCAAAGCTACCAGCATAAGCATTGTCTACGTGTTATTTAAGTGCCTGAAAGTGCCATGAAGGCAAGAATACAACACCAGGAACTGACTGCTGTGCTCCAGCATTTGGTTGCGTGCACTGTACTGACCACAGCAGTAGAAGGTGGCCTTTCACGTGCCTTTTAGACTGACACACAACGCTGCATTTATGGCATTTCGTGATCCTTTGCCTTTGACAGTAATGAGTGGTAGGCCACACAGTACCACATGTGCTCTGCTCACTACAAGATGCTATACTCCACCCTCCTTAGATGTACTGAGCATTAAAGTTTACTGCATCTGTAAAAACATGGGAACATTTGGAAAAGCATGAAAAACAGGCACAAGAATTTTATGTTTTACTCCCTTGTGGCTTCCACCCAAGACACCTTTCTCAGGTAATGTCACATGAACAAACCACCCAAACACAGAAGGAGATAAACATGAAGCAAACTGTCTCTGAACTATGGGGAAGGTAGAAACTAAACTAATGATCTCTCCACTGCTCCTTCTGTAAGGTCATATGAGCAGGGCAGCTAGATTAATAAAACAGTGTCTTTCTTCCCTGGCAGCCTGTCTGAAGCAACTCTTGATGGAAATCCCATACAATTCTTGATCATTGTGTCAAGAGTGAATAAAAAAAAAACCCAACTATTAGTTGTCCTTAGCTGCGACACCACACAGAGGAGGAAGGCACTCACAAATGGTCCTTAGCAGTATGATCTAAGGGCACCAAGTGAAGAACCTTTGCTTCTGACAACTGAGACAGGGCTGCATGGCGCCTTCTTCTCGTCCAAGAGGCTGCAAGGGGTAGCAGAAGACAATCCTGTCTTAGGGGCAGTCCTCAGGAACTCAGCAAGCTGGAGTTCGCTGATCTGCCTGTCTCTTACATGCATTACACACATATAGGGAAGAATGGAGTCAACAACTCTGTGGCTGGGGATTGATGTTTAAAATCATATGAAAATGAGTAACACAAGAGTCAGTATAACAATCATGGGATGATGGAACAGATTGGAAGATGTTTATTTTCTGCCCTTGACTAATGTTCTGTGTTTCCTAGTAATACTCCAAGTTGTCATCTTTGCTCTGAAAATGTAAGGACAAACCTTGTGTGCATGTCACCTGCTCACTTTCATTAATGTCTCTGCATTCCCTTCCTCAGAGAGATTTTAATCTGCCTGCAAAAGGTAACAGAATATCATTGCTGTGTTGCAGCCAATTGAAACAGTTCTTCAATAAATGCATAAAAAAGAGAAAAACAAGCTATGGTTGGATTGGCCCTCACTAGCAGCCAATTTCCCACCCAGCTGCCCACTTACTCCATATACCCCACCCCAGCAGGACAAGGGGAGGAAACAGGAAAAACGAGAAAGAGAAAGCTTGGGCATCAAGATAAAGACAGGGAGATTGCTTACCAATTACTGTCACAAGTAAAACAGACTCAAATTGGGAAAATTAATGTATTGCCAATTGGAATAAATCATTACTGGTTGGGTAGTGGAAAACAAAAGCAACAAGAAGAAGAAATGAACATTTACACACTTAGAGAAGACACCCTTCCTCCACCATTCCCAGGTTTAAGTTCACTCCAGGCACCTCTCCTCCCCTGCTTGTTATCAACAGAGATTACATTCAGTCCCCTCACTTGAGGCAGTGGGCAGCCCCTTCTTCCCTCTCACTCTTTTCTTCTGCTGTAGCATCAGTCCTCCATGGGTTGCAGGGAACATCTGCTCCACCATAGAGCAACTCCACCTCCTCCTCAACCTCCTCTTTGTTCTCTGGCCTTGGTGCTCCCTCTGTTGTTTTTCACTCACTTTATTCCATCCGCCTCTCTCTGGCTTTCTTAAATATATTTCTTCAAGGTGCCACCAGCTTGGCTGAGGGGCTCATCTGTGTCCTGTGATGGGTCAGCTGGAGTTGGCTGGAACCAGCTGTATCCAGCACAGGGCAGCCCCAGCCTCTCCTCATAGAGACCACCCCTACAGCCCCCCCTGCTGCCAGCACCTCCCACTTCTAACCAATACACAAGGGGCGATCTCCTCTCTAACTAAGTGGAGAGAAGGAAGAGTGTGTTCAGGCAGTGGGGAATTTAGGATTAGCGAGGGCAGGACACCAACTTGTCTAAAATAGCAGAACTGAAGTACAGAATTAGAAAAGGAAAGAGGAGCAGAGAAGGAAGGGGGGCAATAGTCCAAGTTCTATTAATTTTTTAATTTCGACATAGGCTTAGAAAAACAAAACAAAACCTCCAGGGGATTCTTCCATCTAGGAATCCAAGCTTTGAAGGAAAATCTGCTTTTCTGTCTTTAGCAGATTTCTTTGCAGTCCTAGTTCTTTCTCCCATTCTAATGTTTAATTGGCTTCAGCAGAGATGATCTATTGCTAGTTCTGTGTCAGTCCCTTGCCAGTAACTCCATGGGGTCTGAGCTTCCTCCAGTCATCTCATGCTCCTATTTAAAATATTTTAACTGGAAAGCTTATATGACCACATTTCAGAGACTACCATTTTGCAACAAAATTCCATATGGTCAACATTAGGTCCAGTAACCATGGCTGGAGTAAAAAATAATCTTGTTTTCATCTTGAGGCTGAACAGCTTCTCTTAAACGTGATTTGGAGTGAGATAACTTGCTACTAATGAGCATCAGCACAGACAGCAGGAAAGCTAGCTTTTAAGCATGCAAATTTCAAAGCATGCTTGTTGGCAGTCTGGTACTCACTTTCTATTTCTTGGGGAGATTTGAGCGTTTCTCCAAAATCACACTGCTCTTTGAAGACATGGTGGATTGTTTGGAGTTTTCCAGCTTTGGAAAGGGTGTAGATGAGGTACCTGCATGCAGAAACAAAATTATGAAAAACTGAAGGGGTTTAATATTACATAGTGCTAAATGGAGCTATTTAATGAACAAAAAAGGTCATCATCTCCTTGGGGAAGACTTAAGAGGATATTCATGGCTAAAACAAGGGTGAAGCAATGTCTCCTACACACCCCACAAGCACACTGGCAAACTGGTAAGAAAAAGTTTCATGTCTATGCTTGTACGTAAGTTGGTGAAGCACAAGAAGCCAGGGCATGAAACATGTATGTGAACCAAACAGGATTGCTGTGCCACTGTGCAGAAGGAAGAAATGGCCATATCCCTCTCTGCAGCAGGATGTGTGCACGAAAGACAATGCTGATACCCCTCAACTTTCACTTTCCCTCTCTTAGAAAACTATGGCACAGGGAGAAACCCCCCAGCAGACAGCATGAAAGAGGCAGAGTCTATGTACACAACTCAAAAGGAGAGTAAACAAAGTCCTTATACTGAGAGAATTTCACCTAAGCTATAGGCTTGGCCCGCTAAACTACAGAGCTTGGTTAGCAACCTGTAAGAGATGATGATGAGCTTTTCTCCAGATCTTCTTCCCTTTTAAGTAGTATTCTCTCCTGCTCCAAGGCTTCTATGTACTTGGAATAGCACCATGAAGCCTGCAAGAATCAGTAAGAACCATCAGCCTCCAGACCATGTCACTGGTAGTTCTCGGTCCATTTCAACAGTAAGACAAAAAACCTGTTTATGGTATACCCCTGTTACTGAATAATCACAATGACTAAGAAGAGAAGTTTTGTCATGACAATATTTGAATCAGGGGAAAAATAGTATTGCTGCAAATAAGTGAATCTCAAAACACCCTGAAATGCAATTTAAGCAAGTTTGACAGATCTGTTGTTTACATTCATTATTCTCCATCCCTTGTCTCAGTCCTATTCTGTCTCCTTTCACCTTCCAAACCTAAATACAACAGACCTTCTGCCTTCCAAAATACCAATCTTTTGTGCTATTGAGGACTTAATTTTTTCTCCCTGCCACTTCCAGTGAATCTTTTCGCAAATAACTGACGGTCTCATTAGCCTCAGAGTTCTTTCTGCCTGCTCTCTCCAACAGAATGCTGCTACCACTAGAGGTAGATCAACTGGACATGTCACATCCTTTCTTTTTCAAAGGAACAAATGTTGCTATTTATGTTGCAACAACTGCAGTTCAGATGCCAAAATTTAGGTCAAACTCCCAAATCAGTATGGGAACTGTACTTTATTTGGTTTTGGTTTTTTCCTTACAGAAATTTAGGGCCAATTTGTCATTTCATGACTCAGTAAGAAGAACTTCTGGCATCTTCCAATAGCAGAAAGGGGCTTGGAGAAGAACCTTCTCTATAAAAAAATACTGCTTTTTCTGCAATTACCTGCCTCTTGAGGGCTAAGGAATATGATATTGATATACTCGCTCACTTTTTTTTACTTTTTTTTAATAGCTATGAGCAAAGGTTAAAAGGTCAACTTAAGGGATCAGAGTGTGAGCTTAACTATGCAGTTTATGACCTGTGGTTTCATATTTTGAGGGCATTTCACAGTGCCTGTTTCTATATTCTGCTCGTCACCAATGTAATGGCACGGGAAGAGCTCTATGGAATGTAATCAGTGGCTGGAGTGCAAATTATTGCTGCATTGCACAGCTCAGCTGTGATTATGTGGTTGCCCAGAGTCCCTGTTACGTTATAGCTGTGTCAATTCAGCTATGAACAATCCCCTGATATGCCCAAGATGGCATAGCTCTTCTTCCTGCTTTTCCAATAAAATTACTGTTACTTTTTCTCAACAGATTTAATGCATCATGAGAGTTGTTCTGGAAGAAGTGCTAGGCAGCTATCTTCTGCTGGATTGGAATAATCTACTTCCTTGCTCCCAAGATGCCTTTTCCTTCCTTATGTTCCCCACTGTCCTATGGACCCATCATCTGTAAGGGTGACTTTTGGGTATAAAAGTGCCCAGGCAGTGTGGTGCTTATTTTCTCTTCAGAGCAGGCTTACTAATTTGTGGCACTCTCGATGGAACAGGGATGTCAAAGTAAATACAGAAATAGTGCTAATATAACATAGTTTGTTTGATAGCTTTCTCAATGAGAATGATGAATTAAATTAGGTCTTGAATAATGTCTTAGAATAAAATAGGCAATGTTATTGTTATCCTATTGTTATGCCATACCTACATTTCCTAAATGAGTTCAGCTTCTGCTTTTGACATAGAGTAGAACAGGACTTAACCCTAAACCAAATTCTATAAAACTACGAGTTTTCCAAGGAGATGTGAACTTCCTTTCATTCAGCTTATCTTTAAATACAAATTCTTTTTAAATTTACACACATAATGGCTTAATATGTTGTTAGATATTAATACTACTCAAAACAGAAATCTTGACATAAATTAAAAAAAAAAATAATAATCATTACCTATAAGGTAGATACACTTATAATAACAAAGTTAATTGTAGAAGAATGAACATTAATTGAAGAACCATTTGACAGGATTATTCAAAGCCAAATTCCATCTTCACATTTTCTCTTGAATGATTATATTCATAATAACAGGTTTATTATTCACCTGCCACCCATATCCACCAAGTGGTGCTTTTCCTTTCCACTCCAGACCAGTCTGATCTCCCAAAGCACTGCTTGAGAGATCGGCGAGTTTTGCCTCAGGCGAAGTCTTTTGACTGGTTGGTGCTTTTTCTTTACCCTGCTAATAATAAGAACTCATAATTACATGTGAACAATAGTTGCTGAGTTAAAGTAAAAAGCAAAGTCTGAGGAGGCAAAAATTGTCATTGGAAATGAGACGGTGTCATATGCAGTAATGTTTTCTAATGCCTAGTTTCATAATTCATCACATTGTGCATAATAAAAACCAGCAGAAGATATTGGGTTTTTGAAGTATTTCTTTGTCCTAATTGAACTTTCCTGACCTCTACACTCCTGCCTACTCTTTTCCTTTCAGATTCAATACCCTCTCCAAAATATAGCAAAGAAAGAAGGCAGATCTGCAAGAGAACATTTTGCAAGGGCTGAGAGGCCATTGTGATCTTCTAATTTGGCGTCAGATATAAATGTAGAACACAGATTTTTCCTAATTCATTTCAGCACAGCAGGTGTGAATGAATGACAGAATACATTAGGAAAACACGTAATCTCACTGAAAACATTTACAATGAAGGACAAGGCACTGTAACCCTTGTAAACTTCTCTGGTGATAAACTATTTGTCATTTTCATGTTGGTTTAGTGTTTTACTAAGGCTGCACCTTTGCACACTCTGTCTGATGATCCAAAAACTCTTTATAAACATTAATCAACATATTTATTTAACCTCATGTCTCTAAACCCACAACATCCCCATTAAGCAAGTAATATAACCCTCCCATGTAGCCAGTGAGGAATTGTGAAAAAAAAAACCAAGAGAAGTCAACACAAATGGTTTCCAAAAGTCACTCAGAAAGCCCCTGGAAGATAAAAAAAGGATTGGAATAATCTACTTCCTTGCTCCCAAGATGCCTTTTCCTTCCTTATGTTCCCCACTGTCCTATGGACCCATCATCTGTAAGGGTGACTTTTGGGTATAAAAGTGCCCAGGCAGTGTGGTGCTTATTTTCTCTTCAGAGCAGGCTTACTAATTTGTGGCACTCTCGATGGAACAGGAATGTCAAAGTAAATACAGAAATAGTGCTAATATAACATAGTTTGTTTGATAGCTTTCTCAATGAGAATGATGAATTAAATTAGGTCTTGAATAATGTCTTAGAATAAGTTAGGCAATGTTATGACAATGTCATATCCCATGACATTATCTCATTTACTAAAAAATAAGCCTGCTGCTAAGAAGCTAAGGGAGAGATGAGGGAAACATCAAAAAGGGAAATTAATGCTTATGAAAAGGCATGGAAAGAATAAGTACAAATCTACAGTGTAAGCTAAAACTGTTTTGTAACTTGAAAACAAAAAAATTCCAAGATTTATTTTGGAGGTAAAATGCAATTGTGTATGCAACAAATTACAAATACTGGCATTGAGGCAGTCTGCAAAAACTGACTCCAAGTGAACCTGCTATCGCTTATGTTGGATGAACCTTATCAGTATCCTTCAGGGATACTGAATCATTTGATTAGTTATGTAGTCACTGAGGGAACAGAAATCTCAAGCAAGAGAACAGAGAATGGCAAATTCCTTAAACAAGAAGGGGAGAAGGATTTCAAAGACTTACCTGTTCCACCTATTCTTTCAAGAGATTTTAAAAGGTAACTGTATTACTGACTTTTTTTGGTGGGAAAATAGTCTGCAAACTATTTACTGAACTGCATTCTCTGTCTGTCACTTTCTAAAATTTCTTACCCAGTTTCCCAGCTTCGAAGGATAATTCACCTTTCCCATTTGTTCCCCATAAAAGCTAGGCTTTTGCCCTCCTGGCCAAGATTTGCTCTTTACTTCCTTGATCTTAATCAGAAATCTTATAGACGGGCAACAAACAGATGGAAAAAATAAGTCTGTGAAAACGCAGAAGTGCATTACTTTGAAATATTGCATTCTTGCACTGTAAGTATTGCCAGTGGCCTTGCCAGACATATCTGTATGGAGGCAGCGTGCTTTGGGGAAAGGAACATGAGTTCTTGGTTTTAGACTTGACTTGACATTGGTGTGTGGCCTTGAATAACACTTCACTGGTCCTCAGTTTTCATGTGTCCAAAAGAGGATAATGATTTGTCCATATTCTTACCAGCCTATATGTCTTTATCTTTCCAGGTACTCATGTGTTTCTTATCAGGAGTAACATCCCAACACATGTGTATGTGGTATTTAAAATATGCAAAGGTCTTTTAATGCTACTTATGATAGTTTGAAAGTCCAATAATTTATCTGCCCTTAAAAGAATTTTTCCTTCTCAAAGCTGGCCAAACAATTACATTTCGTAAAAAATAAACATTTGCAAAGCCTATAATCAATAGAAAAAAAAATCCATTATATTTTAATAATAAAATTCCAAGAAAAACAATTTTACAAGCACGCATTCCGCTGTAGGGGTCACAGTTCTGTTAATGCACTGAAACTGTCTGGAAACTCATTGTTAACAGTCTAACAATTTCACTGTCAAAGCTGAGAAATATCCAAGAAAAGACAAAGACTATACAAAGCAATTAGCACATAAATATTTTTTTAAATAATGTGCAGACTTTTCAAATGCTCCTTCTGAAAAAATAGATATGGAATCTGGTTTTATTTTGTTTTCTTTTGTTTTCAGTAGTGACCCAGGACTGTAAATCCTAAAACAGGACAGTACATACTGAAAGTGCAAACAGGTTTGCAGTTATACATTGTACACATGGACCATACATAGATTATTTTTTTTTTTTAATTCAGCCCTCTTTTTCACTCTTCTCTTGGCACAAAAGATGACTAAAATACATTTTCCCCTCTGCTTAATGAAAGGAATATTCCACTGACTCATCTGCTTCAAGTTAAACATATGTATATGCATCGGCAGGACTGGGAACTAATCACCCTAGAACCGGGTTGTATGTAAAGCTTGAATTCTAACAGAAGTTTTTTGGTAGCTTTGAATCAGGCTGAAAAAGGGATATTTGAATTCATGTCTTTTTGCTCATGAAGGAAGTTTTTATGCCGTTCATCAGCTGTCACCTGAAACTTTGTGAGCCTTACCTGTGCTGTTTTACCTTCCTTCTTTTGCATCCTTTTTCTCTCCAAGGCAGATAGAACTTTGTCACTATCCAAACTGCTTTGAAACTCACAATATTTTGGCCAAAATTTAAACAGAAGAGCAAAAATAGTCATCTGCACAGAAAGAAAAGAAAGTCAGTCTTGACTGCATTAAGAGAACATTTTACTGTGAAATAAAATGTAGTTTACCATGAGAATGAAAGAACTATTTCGTTTTGAATACACAGCCTTGTTCCTCCCACGTACTGTGTCCTGACATTTCAGCCTAGCTTTTCTCGGCACATGCTTTTCATCAGTGTGTTTATTAGTGGTGAGAAATCTTCCTAAAACACAGTTAAAAGGCACTTTCTTTTTATATATTTCCCTAAACAATTGTTTGCATTAATGAAAACATCCATCATTTTTTACAAGTATTCCTGATAAAATATACACCAGTAGAATTGCTTTTGTACCACTGTACTGCTCAAGTATTTCAAATATTCAGTTCGTTATGGAGAGGGGTTTTTTTCCCTCCTTAAGAGAAAGGAAATACTTTTTTGCCTCTGGAAAGGCTCTTAAACCACATTACAGATCTATGAGCAAATCCTGGATAATTTTTAAATGATATAATCTCTCACAGGGTATTTTTTGAACTAGAATAAGAAAAACAATTTTAGAAAAGCAAACAGAGGGGCTCACTAAGTTCTGTTACTGCACGTACCAAGGCTCACATTTTTCAATTTATTTAGATGTTTAATTCTCATTGAGAAACTCAGCTTCAAAGAAGCTGAGCATGCTCAGCACCTCACTGCTTCTGGCTCAACAGGCTTGAAAGTGACATGTGAGTTACTGTCATGTTCCAGTCATAGCTTTCTGGCCACGTTCTTCCCTTGGTTTTGAGCCAAATTTCTGGAGTTTGCTGGATTTTACACAAGCTAAAATCAGATTTCTCTATTCTCTTAGGGCTGATATAAAACCTTTTCTCTGATAAACCATTCATCTTTTGTGATCCAAACACTTTATGGATGCACAGTTGATGCTTAAAGGTTTTGGTGGCAATTTTATAGGAAGAGAAAGGAACTCGCTTTCTTGGGTTTAGAAGGTAAGTCAAAGAAGACAGTAACAAGGAATAAGAAAAGAGTAAGTCTGTAGTAAAGGTTCACAAATTGCTGTTCAATCTGATTAGTAGAAAGATCAGAGAGAAAATTGTCTACAGCCCTTTAGTACAGACTTGCTGTAACAAAGAAGGGAAAGGCATTCAGTAAGTTAAGCAGTCTTTGTGCTTTAATCACATCTGCATTTTTTTTCATGAAGTACAAACTTTCTTACTACAAATTACTTCACTGACAATTAACCAATTAGGAAAGAACAAGCAATTAAAAACCTAAACAGAATTAATTTATACTGCCAGAATTCCTAACACAAACCTGGATCACACATTTCCGGGACAAGGTAGCTGTCAGAGATCGTCCAGTTTATAGAGCAGTAAATATCTGAACCTTCTCTGTCATCTCCACCATACAATCACTGCTGTGATGCATGACAACAGTGTTCTCCTTCATGTCCAGGCTTATGTAAGAAGTCCACATTTTTCACAGAAGCAACAAAGATTGTCCTTAAAATCAGGCACACAGACTCTAGCCAGATGTGTTACAATTACTCTCCCAGCTTCTTACCTGTGCTTCTCTAAAGATGTATGGTCCTAGTTCTTTCCTGTGCTCCAGAATCTTTTTTGCCTGTTCAGTTGGGATGTCAATCTGCAAAGCTGGGGGAACGGCAGAACGAATAAAGCGGTCGATAATAGCTGTGATCTTTTTCTGGACTGTGGCATCATCACAATGAGAATGACACAAGTCCTGAAAGATAAAAAATAGCATTTTCAGTCAATGGAGAGATGCAGGGCCCCTTTACAGGGGCCCACTGATCAAAGAGTAATAGTCATACAAAAATAATTATAAAATCGATTTCTTCAGGGTGTAGAACAGACTTCTTATAGCAAATATGCGTGGTGAAAGACATAGTTAAACATGAGTGGGAATTCTGGTTTGCAAATACAGATATACAGCAATCATAGGTAATCTCTGCCTGCACATTCTGATGGAACAGGGTAGATTTTATCCTGCAGTTAGTACTGACAAATAGGAGGCATTTCTGAAAAGAGAAACACACCTACAGGTGTGAAATTCACTGAATTTCACAATGAGCCTGCTATGACTAGCATAGCCATGATAACTAAAAGACAAAGAAATGCTCTAAATACTTAAAGGAAAGAGAGGAATTATTTAGAGGATACAAGATATTATAAACAGGAATCTTGACACAAGAGGAGACAATTTCGCTACCAGTACAATCTTCCATTCATTTAAATTTTCTGGTTTTCCCATCCATTAAGATGTTCTAGTTTACCAAAACCTCAGTGTTTGAAATGACTCTGTGCAGAACAGAATAAAAAAAAAAACCCTGAACTTAAAAGGATGAGATATCAAAGAAACACTAGGGTTTTCTACTTTTTTTAATGTGAACCTATTGTTCTGGTAAAACCTGCTATCGCTGTGTTTTCACACTCTAACAATGCTACAACTGGACTTTGACGGGAAGGAAAAATAATTTAAGGAACTCCATTCAAACGCTTTGAAACACAAACTTTCCATCTCTCCATAAACATCAAGGCATTTCTATAACGCCAAGAGATTATCACATATATCTACTAAAGACACAATGAGCACTCAAGAGAATTTTCAGGAAGAGAGCTCTCTAAATGAAGAATGTGTATTTCATTTTGGTGTAGGAGGCTGGATATTTACTTTGCAAAGAAATTAAAAACAGGGTATTTAACCAGTAATGTGGTATGTGAAAGAGCTGGCTTGTTTTATTATGAATTGTGCTCGTTTGGTGGGTTTTTTTGGTACTGGGGTAGGGGCCCCATGGGCGGCTTCACTAAAAAGATGAGAAGCTCCCCAAGCTCCAAAACCAGCCAAGGAGCTATTAGAGAGAGACAGTGGATGAGCCTCTGTGATTAACATACAAAATAACTGAGATAAGATCTGAGCAGAGGAGAAGGAGCTATGCTGGAGAGGTGAAAGCAGTGCAGGGGTGGAGAGGTTGGTGAGGAAGAAGGGAAAAAACTTGCCCTAGCAGAAGTTTCCCTGCAACCCATGGTGAGATGGCAGCTGTTCCCCCTGCACTCATGGAGGAACATGGTGGAACATTCCCTGAAGGCACCAGGAGGGGTGAATGTGGATTTGCTGCCAGTGAACTTGGATCATGCAGCTGTGGAAGACCCCTCGCCAGGAGATGTGACTGTTCCTGAAGCAGCCCGTAATTCTAAGGGAAGCCCACACTGGAGCAGCTCTGGACCTTGTGGGGAAGGGCTCATGAAGGAGAGGTTCGTGGAGGAATCTCTCCCATGGGAGGGACCCCGTGGGAGAACAGGGAAGGACTGTAAGGAATCCTTCTTCCTGAGGAGGAAGGAGTGGCAAGAACCACTATCCTGTGAACTGACTCTAAACCCCATCCCCTGTCTCCCTGTGCTGCTGGGGGGAAGGAGGGAGAGAAACCGGGAACAAAGGCATTTGAACCGGGGAAGAAGGGAGGGGTGGGGTAACATATGCAAGCCCTGCTCTTTGTGTTGTCTGTGTCCTGTGTGTTTGATTAGTGTGAAATTAAATTATTATTTTTTCCCCAAGTTGAGTCTGTTTTGTCCAGGACCTTGATTGGTGAAGAACCCTCCTTGTCCTTTGTTTTGACCCATGAGCTTCAAGTTGGCCTTTGTCCTCCCCATCCCAGTGCATGGGGGAGGGGGAGGAGTTGAGTGAGCAGCCATGTGGCTGGTTCTTTGCTGTCATGATAGGCCCAAACCACAACAGGAATACTTTTTGCTTTTTTGAAGAAAAAAAAAAAAAGAATGATAGCAGCTACAATGAAGGAAGTTAAGGCAATACAAAAACACATTCAATATATCCTAAGAATACATCATGGATTTATTTGCTCAGCTAGCATAGAAGAAAACACAGAGAGCTGTACTATGAGGGAATACAAACAAGCCATATGATAGAAAGAAGGATGAGACAAGACCATAGAGGAACAGATGGAAATGATCCACAGAGTTATGTTTATTCATATTTAATAACTTTTTTTTTTTTTATTGTCCCAAGATGTGCTACCAGCCTGGTGTGTTACTAGAAGCAATGTAGTCATTGACTCCTAAACGGAGCTCTGTCTAAATTGATGCCATGATAGGGCTCAGACAATACAAATATGCTCTGTGCAAAGTGCTGCCCACGTCTTTGGCAATATTCCTCCAGTTCAGCCTGACCCACAACACTCCTACTGCTACTCCATCCCCAGAGAATCAACTGGCAACCATGAGAAATCACATGCACGTAAAAATATGGTCAGATTGTACTTTTTCTTGATAAGAAGACAAATAATATTAACATAAATGAAGCAGAGGGGGTGGGACACAAAACTATGCAGGCTTTCTTCAGAGAGCAGATCCACAAAGAAAACAGTCTAAAATATACTCCCCATTAATTTGTATGTATTCCACAATGTAGCAATGAACAGTCACAAATCTGAAAAAACATCAAATATTTTGGTAAGGATTTATGTCATGGAACTTTGGGTGCCTTCATGTCAAGTTTCTAGTCTAAGCTAGTCACTCTGTAACCAAGAGAGTGATAACAGCAGCTCTAGAGCATTTCAGGCAATGATTCCCTTGGGGATTCAAATAGGCAAAATTAGACAGTGAAAATACATGCACATGCCTGCAGCAGGACCTCAACTGCTACTGCAGCATCAGCTGTGTTTGTGTCCTGAATTTAGAGCATGTTAGGTAGCCTCATGCTCCCTGCCTGCCATGTGCACGCAGGCGATGTTCAGGAGCCCAGGAGAGGCTCTGCACTCCAGTAGCACTTCTGCATCAGCAGTATCCCAGAGGCAAAAGGGAGGAGGAACAAGAGAAAGATCCATGTTGCCCCTGCATTCTGTCCAGGATGTTACTAGGAAGCTGCAGTGCAAATTAAAGACTTGCTCCAGAGTTTTCCCACTATGTTTCACCCCCCACAGCAGCATTTTCCCAGAGGTGTGTGTCTGGGAGAGAGGCAAAAAAAATCCCTGCTGAACTCACCTGTCACCTTTCACCTTGGCCACATCCTCAGCTGCACTCGAATGTGACTTAATGGAATGCAGGGGGGATGGAGTCTGCCTATAAGCTTTTTTGGTAATACTACCTTTACATCTGTACATTTGATTGAATTTTAAAGTTTTCTTTGATTTTTGAGGGATTACCCAACTCAGAACAATCCCTTTATTTAACAGTATGCAACCATAAAGACAGAATTAGCATTTTAATTCTTGCATATTTTCTACTGCTCAACAGATGTATACCAAAACGTGGGCTAGTTATTAGTGTCCCTTTCAGGACTCAGTAGAATGTAGCAGTTTGAAGAAGCATAAAGAAATACAGGGATAATAGAGTCAAGTCATTAAAAGCAGTTACCCTTAAGAAGTAAGGATCTTTGTCAAAGAAAAAACAGTTAAACAGTGAAAGGAGTTCTACTATGAACAAGAAAATGCCTAGAGATATTCTTGTTAAAATTATCCTAACATGCAGTACTGGCTTAATTCACATTTAAATTGAATGATATTGCCCTTGCTGCATTTTACCATCATACCTTATACTTCTGCACCTCCTGCCAAAAGAGCACTCCATTCACCAGCAGGTCTCCTTTCAGTGACACAAAGCGTTGAAACTGATTTGCTGTCACTGGATTCAACAGCGCTTTGCGGAAAGTAATTATTTCACTAGATGAAGAAACCCACTTACTGTCCACATGCTGTCAAAAGAAGAAATAAATGCACCAAATAAACTTTGTTTCAAAAAGCAATAACAAAGACATTAGTTAGCATAAACTGTCTGATTCTTATCTTTGCACTGACCCTAACTTGGAGTAGTTTATGAGTTTATGACAAGAATACAATAGAATGCAACAAGGTTTCATTTCTTACTTCACTTTATTTTTCTTTTTTCTTTTTTTTTTCCCCCCAGTTTGGTTTGGACAACATTTTTTGGAAGACATGATGGAAGAGGAAATGACTAACAGTGATTTAGACCATATGACTACATACTATAAAGTATGGAAACAGCTATTGTTATTGATTATGACAACAGGCTACTTTTCTAGAGAACAGTTTTAGTTTTGTGCAAACAAAAAAAACCACCAAACAACAAAAAACACAAAAAAACCCACCACCAAAGAAAAAAGAACAGACAAACCACATAGCTTAAAGTTGTAAAATGCTTCTGACAGGGATCTCACTAACAAAATGAGCTTTGAAATGTGTTGCCAGGATCATCAACAGAAGCTGGAGAGTTTGCTCTCTGTGGCATAAAGATACCAATAGTAAAATAGAATTTAAAGTCATTGAGACATTTTGGAAATCCTCATGATGTGAAGCACGGAGCAGTAGGCAGCCAGGAAAGGGTAGAGAAAGACGGTTTATGCAGGGACAGTTTGTTTGAAATTAAGTTCAGGCTGGCCTGCCTTCCTGAACAAACAGTTCTTGTGCTGTCACTAAGGAGCAAGCCAAACAACCCTCCTTTGTAATCAGATGGATGAATGAAAACTATCTTCTAACAGCAGTATAAAATTCTTGAAGTTCTGGAGGGATGAAGTGCTGTGCAATGGTCAACATGGGACAGAAACCTTTTTAGTTGAAGCAGACAGTCCTGGAAATCTAACCTGATTCTAAGCTGATGGTCTTTATGCAATTTCTCTTAAAAACAAGGGTTATGCTCAGTGTCCTGCCACACAGCCTGCCAGGAATGAGAGCAAGCCCTTGAGGTAGGGTGGGTGCCAGTTGACCAAAGTGTCCTTTGGTTAAAATAAAGTTGGCTCAAGGTAATAAGCTCAACCCTCCTCCAGTTCTCCACACATGTTCTAACCTCTGTGACCAGGATTTAAGTAACTTCAAGCAAAAATTATTACTAGGGCATAGTCATGAAGAGAAAAACTAAATGTTGCTCCCACCCCTATACTAATATATGAACACTGCTTATTTTATGGGTCAGCAACCTTGAAGCAGAACATGGAAAATAACCATCTTCCTGACAAACAGACAAAGGGAAAAGTCAGTTAACAGAACCCACATGCACTTTGGATCCCTTTAGAGCTAATGGTCCTCATGGATAATTGGTGACCGGGTCTCCAGTTTGATTTCAACAGACAATAAAAGTTCAACTGAACAAATGTACGCAACTTCTATGTTGGCAATCACAACGAGTTCACTGCTCTTCAAGAGGAAAAAACTGGCAAACATCTGATGAAATGTATTATTACAAAGGTTTAAGATGTTTAAACTTGATATTATCTCAGTGCTGTAAGATTAAAATACAATTCTAAATGAAACAGATACTGTGAGATATGATTAAACCTGCCCACTCCACTGCATATTTCACATTCCTGTTTGTGTCTGCACGTAATCCACTCGCAATAATAAATAAACTACCAGATGCTGGAATGAACAGCTTGTCCCAATAAGTCCACTGCATGCAAAATACAGATAAATGTGAATTAAAGGTAAAATACTGGTTTGAGGAGGGTTGAGTGCTCCAAAGCCCAAGACAAGAAACAGGGATTTTTTCAAGTATGACCTCTCCATCCAGGAAGGGAGAGAAATTTACCGTGAACATCCAGCAGGGAGCTAAACTCACCAGGAATGTGAGTAATCAGTCCACTGTAGCCAATACAATCATGCCTGCTTTTGACAGCATTACATTTGGGCCTCACGCTGTCAGCAGGGAAGTTGTGAGGGATGTGCAAGGTCCAAACAGAAAAGACAGTGAAACTGCAGACACAAGAGACACAGTAAACTTTGCTTGCCTTCCACATCCTAGTTGTCTTGTCCTGTTTTTGGTGTGGAAGATCTTCAGTTATGTCCTTTACCTATGGTGAAGCAAAAGATTATCACTGTATTTTTTTAACTCTACCTGTTTCATGTTTAGTCCTGTAATGACTGTGACCGCAGGGGTAAAAGGGTTGATGTATCTTCATTTGGGTCTTTGTATCTGAAACTTTTTGTGGAGCCATACTGGACGCTATCCCTTGTTCAGCTATAAATGAGCACATACTCATTAAGACTGAGAAGTTAGAGAAGACAAGAGGCAATGACAGTCACACTGTGCTTTTCCACTAGTTTACCTTACCCATAATATTCTGAGTGACCACTTATGTTGGGAAGATAAGATATTGGGCTATAACTCTTTTTTTTTTAATTATTTTTTTTTATGAAACTGTTTTCGTTCCTTTGGACAGCTGTATCAGAAGTACAGGCTTGATTCTACAGCTTCTTTGTAGCAAAAATACACCTCAAATCAAGGGCAGATTTTCTGAATAAGGACTACATAGTATGCCCACAATATTTGGCCACTGTGAAATATGAAGCCAAGTGGAGAATGTCATCTGGTTTCATTTCTTCTGAAATACATTCTTCAAAGGACCTTTTCATCCTCTGAATTTGCAGTGAGAAAGAGAAAAGAGCAGTCAGACATAAATGGAGTTAGGAAAATCCTAAAAGCTCATTAGAAGAATGTATTTCCTGTAAACTATTTATTAGACTTGAATACAGCATTTTCCAAACTGCATGGGCTACTCTCCCTGGCAGCACAGTGCAGCAGGTGCAAGAAGAGGCAAGAGCTGGAAGCAGTTTAGCCTTATTGCATGGTCTTGTGCCACAGCTTGTAAAGGAGGCAGAGTTCCGCTAAAAAAGGGCAGGGGGTTAGGAAATTTTGCTTTGACATAATCATTATTAAAATTATAATTTGTCTTACCAGAGAAGCTACAGTTTTCAGATTGCTTGGTGCTCTGAATCAGTGAAAATTATCTACCTCATATGCACATCTGACAACATGTCTGACAAGCTTCTTCATGTTAAAAGGATGATTGCAAACAAGTTTTATGACTCAATGCACTCTGTCCATGTGTCTGCCTGGTGGAACTGTCAAGTTTCCTTCTGCTACACCATTTGCCTTTCAGAACTTTTGTGGAAGTGCAAAAAACCAAGTTTTCTGCATCTGTCACCAGCAGGATGATCTCCCTACACTGATCCCAGCCACAGAGGCACTGTCATAAAAGGCAGATGTTAGCTCTGCCCATTTCCCAGTCTTTCTAACGAGCCAGCAGGAGTGAAAGGCTTCTCATTCCCAGTTTTCTGGCAACCTTCTGAAGTAACCCATTGGAAACAAAGCGTGTAGCAGTTAACCTCCCTACTCAGCAAAATTTCACAAGTCCTAAAGTAATTTCTATAGGCACTTCAGCTCCAGATGGGTGAATATGGACAGCATAAGAGAGAGAGAGAATACAGCATGAGAAGCCCACTCAGGTCTTGTCCCCTGATGTGTTCTGGTCGCCTTGGTCAAATCCTTTATACAAAGCAGAATTTCTTCTGTGTGCAAGTGTATGGCTAGGGTAGAATGGCACAGGGAGAGTGCAGCACTACAGCAAAGATTAATTTACTCCCCTGACAGCCTGGCTGGCAGCAGAGCTAACACCAGCTCCTTCAGATTTTGGATCTAACAATAATACTGTCAGCCAGACTAAGCCTGCAAAGGAACTGCTTTCACAAAAAGCAAGCTAAGTGCTTCAACCTGTATGTGCTAGAGCATCCCTTTCAATGTAAACTGAATGTGAGTTGTGGACTGCTTTTCCTCTGAACCATTTTAACCCAATGGCGAATTGTAGGCCAAACAACAAACAATGCCTGGATGTGTTGCTGTTGTTAAAAAAAATTACCTTTTTTTCTCCCTCCTCTCTGTGCTGCTCCTCTGCCAGGAACAATGGCAGCCATTGTTTTTCTAATCTCTTCTGGACGCATCGCTGCATTTCTAGCAGAACCGCTGCCGAAAGTTGATCATGAAGGATTTGTCCCCCTCCTCCACCTGAACGCATTAGCTAAGCAATCCAAACACAATAACACATGACATAAACTTGTGCGTATCCCAAATGTCCTTTATCTCTCTACATCCTTGATTTAGCAAAGCATGAGCTTAACTGTAAGCAAAGCGTTTAATGCATGCTTACCCAAGGCTCATATGTACTTTTCATAAAAGGGAACAGATTATATTTGTCCCTACCTCTAACAGAATACAGACTCCAGCAAATAATACTCCAGCTTGACCAAGTAGATTTCATAAGTATTAAGATGTATCAGAGCACCACAGTTCATACTCACTGTCTGTGGCTTTACAGACGTACTAAAATAGAAACCTGGAATAAGTCACTCTGCTTGAAAGCCATTTCTACACTTTTTCTGAGCTGTGTCGTGCATACTCTGGCTGCAGCCTCAGATAAGGGTTTAAGAGAGATGTTCTATAAGGACTAGGGAGAAATCATAGATTGTAGAATTATTCTGGTTGGAAAGGACATTAAAGATCCTCAAGTGCAACCAAGCGCCTGAATAGGAAGGAGGGAACCCCCACAACCAGCATAGAACCAGATTTCTGGCCAAAAATATAGGTGAGGTTTGAGGAGATAGCTTGGGGAAAAGCTAGAGTAAAGCTTTTTATGGACCTTTATCTCAGTCACGTTTGGTGTGATTGTCCTTTATGATGGTTTTGTAACTGGTACCTGTTCTTGTTGTTCTCTGGTAGCTGGGCTGTTGGGCCCAAAGAAGTAGTTTTTGTTAAAGTACTTGTTTCCAATGTCCTTAGATTTTTCCTCCATTTTTTCTTTGTCCTTGTGGAGCATCTTTCTGAGCTGTTCAATATCTAGCCAGCACATGAGATCCATGCTACAAATAAATTTAAACAGAATGTTATTTCGATATTGAGTTAATTTCATCAACATTCTAGGCAGTTATTAGTTTAACCACAAGCCACCAAAATGTTCAAGTCCTAAATACCAGGTCAGATTGGACTGAAATTTTATGTCATTTTTTCTTTGCTAGTACCATCTGGTGAGACCATGTCACTTGATGAACATGCAGATCAAACACACATCTTAGGGACCTCATTTAGGGTCCCTTCTGGGGTATTCTGAAAGGAGCAATCTCCTCAATGTGCTTCTGCTAAATCCAGCAGGGACTGTGAACCAGACCCATAGTGCAGAGCTCACAGAGAGAGCAAGAAATGAAACAGATGAGAATTTGAAGCAGTACTGCAGGCTGCGCTCCACCAAGAGAAGAGGCGACACCGCCTCATCTGCCTCCTCGTCATATTGCTTGAGAAAGAAACAGGGATGACAGCTGGGAACATCAGCTCCAGAAGTCACCCCCTTCTTACCTCATGTGAAGTGCTAGAACTTAAGTCAGTCCACAGCCAAGTAGACAAAACCAATTTACGGTACATTTTGTTTCCAGGGCTTTTTGTGGGCTACCTTTTCAGAAATTATTGATTCTACTACTTATTTTATCATTCATAGTAAGTGACAAATAATCTCCATATGCAATTCTTGACCTATAATAATAACAAGTTGAGTGTAAACTATCAATCTAAGTCTATTTTAATGCAACATATCTTGGTTTTGTTCTTTAAACCAGAGGACAGAATAAGTGACATAAATTTCAGCTTAATTTACATTACAGTTTTCTGATATTATCTTATTAGCTGAAGTTTTGTGAGCATGTTAATGAGGACATTCACTGTATTTGCAGCAGGAAGTATGACACATTAAATTCACACAAATTTGTTTCACTTTCCATTCAGTTAATAACTGATTTTTCAAAGCATTAATCTATGAGCAAAAATTTCAAAAGCATCCAACTGATTTAAGAAGAGATGTCCCCTTTTCAAAAGTCTTTTGAGACCCTTACAGATCAAAGTTCTGAGATTGACATTCTTTCATTTGCTAGTTCATAACAACGTGAATAGGTTCACCCAAATGCAAGTGATGCAACTGGCTGCAGTTTATAGAGTTACTTCTTGGCATCTACCTATGACAACTGATCAAATATGTCCATCTTATTTAAAAAGCAAAATAAGCAATTTTATAATGTGTTAGGTTAAACCACTTACAATGGTGGCTTACCCTGGGGTACTCTGCTTTTTCCTTTTGACAGATCAGGAGCATGTGCATACTCAGTTGGCCTGGCAAGACTAAATGGTAACCCTCTAACCCAAAGTAACACAGATTGTCCTGCAATTGTGTGACTATATCTTATATACTAAAAATATATATATATATATATTATAATAATTAATGGAATTTTGTTGAGTTTCTTACCGAAATTTGTGCCCAGGTACTCAGCAGCCTGTCCTTCCTGAAACTTGGATCACTTACAATTAAGCAATAACAGAACCATACTTTTTTATGAAGAGACAAATGACACATTTGTTGTTCCTTGCTGAAATTTTCCAGACTGCATTAGTTCTAAGATCTTTTCAGCCTATAGTACCATTAAGTGTCTTTACTGTAGCATGCCAGCTGGACTTCAAAGTTACTAGTTCTGGACCCAGCTCTAAAGCACAATTTTGTAAGACTTTTCAAATGGTTTTCTTCCAAAGTAACACAGATTGTCCTGCAATTGTGTGACTATATCTTATATACTAAATATATATATATATATATTATAATAATTAATGGAATTTTGTTGAGTTTCTTACCGAAATTTGTGCCCAGGTACTCAGCAGCCTGTCCTTCCTGAAACTTGGATCACTTACAATTAAGCAATAACAGAACCATACTTTTTTATGAAGAGACAAATGACACATTTGTTGTTCCTTGCTGAAATTTTCCAGACTGCATTAGTTCTAAGATCTTTTCAGCCTATAGTACCATTAAGTGTCTTTACTGTAGCATGCCAGCTGGACTTCAAAGTTACTAGTTCTGGACCCAGCTCTAAAGCACAATTTTGTAAGACTTTTCAAATGGTTTTCTTCATTATGAATGTTTTTAAAAGAAAATTTACCCATAAATTAAACATTTATCTGCCTGGCTCTATCACTTCAGATGGGATTTGTCTGTGATTAACAGAGGAGCAGGAAGTCTCAGAAGTGATTCAGAGTGACCTGTTCTCTGACCATCCCTACCATTTCCCCAGTTAGAGAGGAACTCTAAACCAGTGGTCTCCAAAGTGGGGTCTGCATGTCTCAGGGGGTGTGCAAGATCATTCATTGGGGGGCAGAAAGAAAATATTAGAACTTCAATAGAAAATGCTTATGACTAATAAAAAAATAAACAAACATATATTGAAGGTGCATGCCCAAAATTTTTAGCTGATGGGTTGCGTGATCAAAACAGTTTAGAGACCACTGGTCAGACAACTAACTCAGAAGTCACTTGACCATAGGCACCCACAGCATATGAGTCTCCATCTTAACTCATTACCTACAGTCTTTTCATAGTCAGTGAGCAGAAACAGCCATTTTTAGGAGTGATCCATCCAAACTGAGTTTAGATGTTACCTTCAGAATTAGAAGAAGTGTGTCCAAAAGCAAGTGTTTTTCTCTCTCTGACTACAAAGAGAACCTCTGATGGTAAGCAGAAGTGATGACATTGAGATTTGGCCAGAGGAATTCTGTGCTACAACTCTGGACAGTTTGGAACAAAACACTGACCAATAACCAATCTGCAATGGTGGCAGTGCTTAACCAGAAGCAATGAACTCATAGGAACCCATGTTAAAGGAAGGAACTGACAATTTAAGGACTTGTTAGATGTTACATTAAAAGGGTATTTGCCTTTTCCTAAAACAAGATAAAGATTACTGTGGGGGTTGGGAAAAAAAAAAAAAAAATAATTAAAAAGCTGGCAAATTCACAATTACTTCTGCTTGAACTTCTGTTTAGATCTTCATTTTTCGGCTCACTTTTTCAAAAACCCTGCATGAACTGTATCTGCTGCAAGCAAGTATTTAATTCTGTTCAGCTCAGCACAAACACAAAACTGCATTGCTCTCACATTGTGAGAATAATGTGTACATTTTTCTAAAATCCAGCTTTAATCTTTAAAATGTATTAAATTGAATCTGCACTAAAACACAAGAGATCTTTACTCATTTTAGAGTTTTGTCACTCAGGGGTTTGCCACTAATCAAAGCAGAAACTGAAAGCAGAACTGCAATACAAACATTTAATGACAGGAGAATTTTTACCCCTAAAATGATAAGTCAATTTCGTTGTCTGAACAACATGCATGTGTATTTCAAAAATATACAAACACATTTAAAAACAAACAAACAGCAAAAAAACAAACCTAAAATCTGTGAACATTTAGATAGCCAAGGGCCTCAGCGAAGATTTCTTCTCAACATGGAAAGGGGTAAAATAATAATAATAAAGAAACATACCCAGCAGAATGCTCATTAAGAAAAGCCCAGAACTGTTCTAACATCTCTTTGTCATGGATCAGGTCAGATAGATCAGGTCCTGCCAGTTCTTTGGGAACTTGAGAGAAGCGCTGATCTTCTTTGAGAGCACCGAGGTGGGATGGCAGACCAGTGTCAGCAGCAGTACTCTGAGGGAAGGAATTATTTCACTTGCATAACTGCTTTTTTCATCTCTATATTCTGCTCAGTCTAATAATCTTTGCATTAGGTAAGTTCTGTATATGTAGAACAGCTTTTCAATTGCTGAGAAAATAAATTAAAGCTCCAGCTCTTAATCAGCTTTAGTTTTATGTTTACTATAAACATACCAGTGTGTGCAGGTTCCACAATCAAATACACCAATATATACCTGTAATTTACTTGAAATTGAGATATTTACCCAAAATCCCTTCCACAGACTTTAGTGGAAACTTTCTCATTTGCTCCAACCATACAATAGTCTGGCATTGATGTAACTGACAGAAGACCTGTATTTGTAATGAATGCAACGGCTGTCAGTCATTCCACAAACTGAGTTCTAGCAGAAATCAGAATGCTTGCTTCTCCAAACTGGCATGTAGTCAGTCTTTCATTGCTGATACTCAAAGTGTTAACCCTCTCTGATAGAAAAAGAGTTTGTTTTTGTTAGTAGGTACTTGTCTTACCTCATCCTTCTTGGAACCACTCTCTTGATGCAAAGCCTGGAGCTTTCTAAAGTACACGGAGTCCAGCTGTCGAGTTTCTTCCAGGCAGAAAGAAAATATTAGAACTTCAATAGAAAATGCTTATGACTAATAAAAAAATAAACAAACATATATTGAAGGTGCATGCCCAAAATTTTTAGCTGATGGGTTGCGTGATCAAAACAGTTTAGAGACCACTGGTCAGACAACTAACTCAGAAGTCACTTGACCATAGGCACCCACAGCATATGAGTCTCCATCTTAACTCATTACCTACAGTCTTTTCATAGTCAGTGAGCAGAAACAGCCATTTTTAGGAGTGATCCATCCAAACTGAGTTTAGATGTTACCTTCAGAATTAGAAGAAGTGTGTCCAAAAGCAAGTGTTTTTCTCTCTCTGACTACAAAGAGAACCTCTGATGGTAAGCAGAAGTGATGACATTGAGATTTGGCCAGAGGAATTCTGTGCTACAACTCTGGACAGTTTGGAACAAAACACTGACCAATAACCAATCTGCAATGGTGGCAGTGCTTAACCAGAAGCAATGAACTCATAGGAACCCATGTTAAAGGAAGGAACTGACAATTTAAGGACTTGTTAGATGTTACATTAAAAGGGTATTTGCCTTTTCCTAAAACAAGATAAAGATTACTGTGGGGGTTGGGAAAAAAAAAAAAAAAATAATTAAAAAGCTGGCAAATTCACAATTACTTCTGCTTGAACTTCTGTTTAGATCTTCATTTTTCGGCTCACTTTTTCAAAAACCCTGCATGAACTGTATCTGCTGCAAGCAAGTATTTAATTCTGTTCAGCTCAGCACAAACACAAAACTGCATTGCTCTCACATTGTGAGAATAATGTGTACATTTTTCTAAAATCCAGCTTTAATCTTTAAAATGTATTAAATTGAATCTGCACTAAAACACAAGAGATCTTTACTCATTTTAGAGTTTTGTCACTCAGGGGTTTGCCACTAATCAAAGCAGAAACTGAAAGCAGAACTGCAATACAAACATTTAATGACAGGAGAATTTTTACCCCTAAAATGATAAGTCAATTTCGTTGTCTGAACAACATGCATGTGTATTTCAAAAATATACAAACACATTTAAAAACAAACAAACAGCAAAAAAACAAACCTAAAATCTGTGAACATTTAGATAGCCAAGGGCCTCAGCGAAGATTTCTTCTCAACATGGAAAGGGGTAAAATAATAATAATAAAGAAACATACCCAGCAGAATGCTCATTAAGAAAAGCCCAGAACTGTTCTAACATCTCTTTGTCATGGATCAGGTCAGATAGATCAGGTCCTGCCAGTTCTTTGGGAACTTGAGAGAAGCGCTGATCTTCTTTGAGAGCACCGAGGTGGGATGGCAGACCAGTGTCAGCAGCAGTACTCTGAGGGAAGGAATTATTTCACTTGCATAACTGCTTTTTTCATCTCTATATTCTGCTCAGTCTAATAATCTTTGCATTAGGTAAGTTCTGTATATGTAGAACAGCTTTTCAATTGCTGAGAAAATAAATTAAAGCTCCAGCTCTTAATCAGCTTTAGTTTTATGTTTACTATAAACATACCAGTGTGTGCAGGTTCCACAATCAAATACACCAATATATACCTGTAATTTACTTGAAATTGAGATATTTACCCAAAATACCTTCCACAGACTTTAGTGGAAACTTTCTCATTTGCTCCAACCATACAATAGTCTGGCATTGATGTAACTGACAGAAGACCTGTATTTGTAATGAATGCAACGGCTGTCAGTCATTCCACAAACTGAGTTCTAGCAGAAATCAGAATGCTTGCTTCTCCAAACTGGCATGTAGTCAGTCTTTCATTGCTGATACTCAAAGTGTTAACCCTCTCTGATAGAAAAAGAGTTTGTTTTTGTTAGTAGGTACTTGTCTTACCTCATCCTTCTTGGAACCACTCTCTTGATGCAAAGCCTGGAGCTTTCTAAAGTACACGGAGTCCAGCTGTCGAGTTTCTTCCACCAACTCCACCTAATAAAAATAATATCTTATGTCATCCCTACAGTACACAGTATAGAAAGATGGAGAACTGGATGGGAACCTTGCCAGTGACAGTGGATAGAAAATAATGTGCTTGCCAGTAATGAGACTGATAGAAGACACTCAGAGTCACATCCTTGGGACAAACGCTTCAGTTAAAAGCTCTAGCAGAACAAAATTTTCAAATCTGTGTAGGATCCCATGTAGATTTCTACAAAACATGGCTAAATAACCTGACTATATCCTCAAGAAAAGAATTTTGTATTTAAAAAACCTGCTGCATTATATTGTGAATATAATGTATTATGTATGCATTCTGCTGTGTACATTGTGTCAGACTTAACCGATAGCCTATACCAACTAATTATGTGTGTCAAAGTGCCACTGAGAAGCACAAAAACAGGTCTTAAAACCATGATTCTCAGGGGAAAATGTTAGAGTGCCACAGATTTCCAGAAATGGAAACCTATTACTAGGAAGGTGCTATAATATCTAAACAATGAAAGTGGAAGCTTTCAGATTTTCGGTCTTGTCATCTTCCTTAGTACCTTTATACCAGGAACCTTAGTTCCTTTTATACCAGGTACTGCCTTAAAATAATAAATTGTGCATGATTAGAACTCATGAAGTAATGGTATTTTTTAAACTTCATTAGAAGCCTTATGTAAATCACTAGAACAGTTCTCTCTGTTATGTGCAAACAATCAGAAGTTGCAAAAGGAATAGTTTGGTGACCCTCTGAACTGATTAAACTGTTCAAATGCAGGTTTTAGGATATTTAACAAAATCGAGCCAATGCATTTTACTGATTAGCACCCCCACTACAACAATTAGAAAGCTGTGGTTATTACAATAGTTTATGTGCAATAGAGAGAAGAGAGTTTTTAGATAAATATTCATTACACTTTTGTCGAAATGCAAATACCCCACTAATCACCATGTTATCTGACTGCCCTCAGGCTCAGTGTAACTCTGATCCACTGTTGTAAAGTGCTTTTGGGTATCCTTTCCTTTAAAAGAAAACATAGCTTTAAAGTAAATGGGAAAATAATTCAGAACATTTTTCATGAAGTTTAAACATAAAGCAGATAGAGGCAGGATGATCAACAATAAAAACAAACTCTCCTGTTTTCACGTTTCATTCAGAGATAAAAATGTAGATGCATACTGACCATGTCCCAAATAAACAGTTTTGGACTCACCTAATTCTTGATAAAATATCATGTTTTGTTATGGGTCAAATACATCCTGCTGTATGGTAGAACAAAGGGGAAGAGTAGAGCCAGGGACTGAACAAAATACAAAACAGACCTTGTCTTTGTGCTGGGAAGGAGTGTGCCTAAGCATCAGCCTGCGCCTAGTACAGAGACTCCAGTGCCTCCTAGAACAGGTCGTTTTATGTCTGTGTATGATAACTCTTCACAAACGCAGGTATTGTGCACTCAAAAGGAATTCGTTCTGCTTTTCTGTGCTCTGATTAAGATGTTTGTGTTCTTAGGGCACTGAGGAATCTGCATACACTTGCAAAAAAAAGCATCATCCAAACTGAAAGAGCAATAGATAATCCCAGGTTACTCCAGGAGGTATAAACTGACACTCACATTAACTTAAAGCAAAAGTTCATCTTTTCAATTCTTACTTTGGAGGAATTCTTCCATTGCTAGAAGCAGTGAAAACACTGTATTCAGACAGTGCTCAAAAGCAGTGTCCTTTTTATACGAAAATTATGTATACTAATACTTGGCTGAGTTAATGAGTCAGTGAGGACTGGCAATAGATACTAGACAACTAGTATTGATAATACACATGGAAGTATACATTTACAAAAGACTGTAAAACTAGTCTAATAGAATGTAAATATAATTTCATATTAACTGAAGCACTGATCAGTTACACAGTGTTATGCAGATCATAAACAATTCTAGCTGAAATAGTTTACAAGAGGTAGCTTAGAAAAAATAACTTCTCCAAAATCTTAGAAAAGATGCTCAAAATAAAGAGAATATTTTGCAGATGTGTTTGGATTGGAATATTTCATTTTAGTATTTTTTTCTTCAACGTCCAAATTTTCAAAGTTTCATAAGGAAATTAATTTATCAGAGGATGAGAGGGAAGGTCCCCTTGTGAATTAATTAGAAGTTAAAAAATAAAAAAATAAATAACTTTTATAATGGGGTGGGGTTCCTATTTGAGTCTCACAGGGATCTGCACTGAGGTTGTTTTTTTAAACATTCAGAAAATTATCTGGGAAAGGAGGTGAGCGAGGAGACGACAAAGTTTGCGAAATTATTCCACAGCAAAAAATTAAATTGACTGTGAAGAGCTGCAGCATTTCAGGACACTTTTGCAAGGTAAAAGGGCAGCTGAATTCAACGACAATAAACATTAAGTCATTCTACTGAGCTCCAAATTAGGGCTTTCCATTAGCTGTTATTACTTTGGAAAGAGATCTTGGAATCACTGCAGATGGCTATTAGCTTACATTTTGCACATCCACTCAAAGTTCACCAGGAGTCAAAAGGCAATTAGAATCATAGGAACAATTAGGAATGGAACAGAGAGCAAAACAGAAAGCATGATTCTGACACTGCACAATCCTTAGTGCATTCAGATCTTGAGTATTGTTTGCATCTTATCAGAATAATATAAAATAACAGCTACAGATGGGGGTGATAAGTGTAACAAAGGTATAGAGTGCCTTCTGTAAGAGTCAGGTAGTCTAGGATTCTTGGGTTTCAAAGAGAAGTAATTGAAGTGGGATTCAACAGAAACATGTAAAAGCATAACACAATTGAGAATATGACAAGATAACAATAGTTCACTGTTCCTTATGACATATAAAACTAGGTGAAATTGACAGGGAGGTGTTTGCAAACAAAGATAAGCTTTTTTTTCTCCTGCTGCATGATGAAACCATGGAACCCACTGCTACAGTGGTAAAAAAAAAAAACTCATCAAAGACTATGGAACATGATGTGGATAGACCTCAGCTTCATGAACCTGCTCAGCTGCAAAGGGCTGGAAGCTGGTAATATTGCTGTATGGTTGTTTTCCATTCTTATACTCTAATCTTCAATACTGGCCACAACCTACTAGGCTTAGGAGACCATTCTCAACTTTGAATTTAGGTATCTGTTCTCCTAGTTTCTCATACGTTAATGCATTGATACAATAACAAAAATGCAATGTACTACTAAACTTCTACAAGGAATTTTAAAATGCTTTGTAGGGGGCAATGCATGCATGTTCTCATTACATGCTGACAGAAGTATCAGTAGTAAAAATGGAGATGCTTAATTTAAGAGAGGAGAAAAACTGAACAAGAACTAACTTCTTGTCCTCCAACTCCTGATTCTCCATTGTAAATTTCTCCTTCCATATCCAAGAAAGAGATGTTAAAGACTTGGAATTAGAAGTTTGATCTACAGCTGGTAACTTGTAGGTAAGTTTACAAAGAGCAGGGAGCCAGAGCACCCACCACTGCCTCCACAATTTCTTGTTCTTACTTGTCAAAAGAAGAGTCAGGACTGCAGCCATCTCCTCTGACCTTCATGAGCCTGCTCAATTCAAGCCTTTAGAGGCTTTCTGGGCTTAGAGCTGAGTACACCACTGAGCCACTTACTTCAGGAAGCCTGTGGGGCACAGTTAGCCCGTACACACCAGGCCAGCTATCTAAAAAGTCTTTGGGACAAATAAAACAAGGTCACCATATCACATTTTCTTTTACACTAAGCAGTAACTGCACTTTCATTCGAAACACCAAGAAGTACTCAATACAATAATATGGGTCTAGCATCACTGTACTGACACTCTAGAAACACAGCTTATTTTGTGCTTATCATTAAAACACAGAAGGCTTGTGGGCAATCCATCATAATTACTTTTGATCAATGGCAAGATTGCAGAAACATGACACCTGAGTGCAAAGAAAGCTTTTGCCATAGCAAAATGCATTCCTTCCTAATTTACAGACCATGGGGTCTGTGAAGTCTGCATGTTCCTTTTGGATGGGAAGTTGTCTCTCCACAGAAAGTTCAGGGTACTCCACGTATCAATGCAGAAAGGACTGGGTAAGTAAAACACCCCATAATATTTTTCCCTTCCTGACTATAATGGGGCTGCATATCCAGGCTCCTTCCTCAACATAAGAATTTTTTAACAGTGTCATCCAGATCAGTTACCTTTCCATAAGTGTATTTGTCTGCTTCCATCATCTTCATCCATGGTTCTAGCAGAACAGTGAGGATATATTCTTCTGCTGGGTCAAAAAGATCCTCAAAAGCTGGGTCAATTTTCTGATAAATCATATTTTTCTTACTCTGATCAAGTCCAATGTCCATACTGGCAGATGGAGCAATGTAAGTTGCATAAAGGTACTACAAAAAAGCAGAAGAAAACTGTATCTTAGCATTATCCATTCCAATTAACACAGTATATTGAAGGAGAGAATTAATGCATATTTGTCCCCCACTGTTCTGCTGTTAATTCAGAATATGTATCTAATTACACTTGCCTTGTTTTTACCAATATTACTATTGTGTTCAAACTTCAGTTGTTGCCATAATTTAGCTCCCTGCCACTTTTGGTCCCACTTGTTAAAATGGTTAATCGCAAAATAATACTTAATGTAATTTTTGCTTGGAGATCAATGGCTGATTCTTAGTTAGATTCAGATAACCACAATCATTACAGCAACTGCACACTTCATGTAGTATTGTTGTTCTGTGGAATATGTGCTGGGGCAGCTTGTGAAGGAGTGTGACTTCTGCATAGAAGGGGAATTTTAAATTTTAAGTAAAAGTGGTAAGAATTCATTCTGTGTGGAGATTCTTCTAAACAATTCTTTGACATTGGTGAGACTCCATCGTGGTAGAGGATCTGTAACAGGAGATACCACTGCACAACTGAAGTAAAAATCCTTACCAAAGCAAGGGCTACAGTGTGCTTCTTCATGAAGCACAGTTTGCCATTCAACATGTACATACAGAAGAGAACTGAAGCTGGAGAATGTTTCCTTCTCACTAGCAGCTCATTCTTGAAGCACAGAGTATTAATCTTGTTTCGAATTATTTTTCTTCTAGATAGTCCCCTAAGTCAAATACTTGCTTTTTAAATGTCTCATAAATTGCTATGAAACAAAAACACATTGAAAACTCAAGAGAAAACACTTTCTTTCAGGAATATCTTGAAATAAGGTATTCCAGAGTATCTTTGTAATACATCATGATTCTGACTGCAGCTAGGGACTCAACTGAAAAAAGATGCTGTGGTAACGAATTTCATGTATTCTTAAATGTTTTCTCTTCTTCATAGTGTCAAAGTCTAACTAATTTTCAAACATATGGTTGAGGAATCATATTAGTAGCATAACTCAGAATTTGTCTCTAGGATGGCACTGAGGAGCCCATGTTCTCTATTTATTATCACACAACTTTGACAAAGAAGAACTCAGTTTTCTAATAATTCTGATTTTCCTTATGTTGCTAAAATCCAGCTGTAATGAGCAGTAGAAAAGAAGAAAATAATACATTTGCTCTGTGTTCAAGCAGTAATAAAACTGTTGTATGTAGATTTCAAGCACAGTGGGGAGAAGGTTTGAGTACATTAAATAATTATGTTTCTGTTTGTTTTAAATGAAATTCTGATATATTAGACTCTTTCTTTTGAACAGTAGCAGTACTAGACTACATCCCCATTATTTTGGACCTTGACAATTTGAAACAGACCCTTCAGACCCTCCTGATATTGGGTCACTGAGGAACACAGAGCTATGATGGCTGGCATCCACACCCCAGTTAGAACACATTATGATTACTATACTTACTGTCTATGCAGGATTCTACCCCCTTTCTATATAGATCTAATAACTGAAAACAAAGATGATTTGTGGCTATCGTGGCCCCAGGTTATCAGTGTAATAAAGATCCCCAGGTTTAAGGGTAAGGTCAAAGAATGAGGAGATCCACAGGAAGAGTCCTAGCTGAAGAGCAAGACCACATTTATCCTAAATTATTCCCTTCTCAGCAAATCCCAAAATAAATTTAAATTTAATAGAAGCAGCATAAATTGGATTCATAGTGACTTCAAAAGTTGGAAGTTATTTTGAAAAACCCTATGACTAGTAAAGTTTCAGTTACATCATGTTTTAGTCTCATCCAAAACATTTAATGTATAAAATAACCAAATTAGAAGGGATCGGTCCAATGATATAAAGATGTGGTATCTTTAAAAACAGACTTTTTAAAGAGGGTTAAGTAATTGTATTCATCATCAGGGCTACACTGCTTCTTCACCTGTTATGACTCATAAAGCCACACACCAGGGATCTGTAAATTGAAGAAAAGGGAATAAAAGGGGCCCTCAATATTTTAAGATGCATTTAACCTCAGTCCTTAGATGGCTGGTCATTTTTAGCAGTTTTAAGAATAAAATAAAAAAAAACCCACTCCACAGTTTTCTTGGGTGGGACTAGTCTTTCACTCATGCCTTTGTAACAAATGGGTTAACTTGAGCATATTTGCAACTCTTCTTTAGAGCTGACAAAAGGTATCAGTCTACAGAGTCACAAATTGCCCAGACTAAGGGATCTTTGGCCAAAACCTATTGACAAACTGCTCACATTGACACTATTCCAATATACTGCCGTAACAGGGACTACCTTTGCAGGCTGCTCTACCTGCCCTCAGTCCTGTATCATTTCACCTGCAAAACCAGAGCATAGTAAAGACAGACTTTTTTTCAGAAACAACAGTTAGAGCTGGTAATACATGTGAAGCAGAAACTTCAAGGTTGTTAAGCTAGCTATGGGAGTGTAGTTTTCCAAACTAGAAGGACCAGATCCTCAGTGCTGCAATCAGGATGGCCTCTCTGCCTTGAAGAATCCAGAACCAACAGTGTCTGAACATTTGGTGTGATGCCATCTTTTTCTTCAAATTCCTGCAAGAATCCATTGTTATGGAATTTGACCTACCAAGTAAAAAGATAGTGTCACAAAGTGACAAGGTGAATGCATGTACTTGCAGACAGGGGAGAAATGAGAAGGAGCTTTAATCCCTGTGTCACCTGCTGAGAGTTCAAGTGCATCTGTAAATGTGTACTGATTTGAATGCAAGGACTGCAGGAAAACCCAACTGCAAAGAGTTCTAAACATGCCAAAAGAAGAGGAATTGTGTGTGTTAACAGGCTTCAACACTGGGCAATGAACTTAACATGATAGAGAGGGAAATGCACTGTAGTCTTTAAAAAGGAATATTTTTAGTCTGTCTTTGACTCCCACATCATAGGAGTCATGTAATTTTCTGAATCAACAGGAAAAAATTACTTTAAATGAACTTCAAGTTTATCGAATTAATACAAAAATCTTAAGCAATGTGACATCAAGTGTACATCATACTTCATTTATTCAATGTTTTATTCCTTTAGCAAAACATAAAGAATTTTGCTACCTGTCAGCTATATATTTGCTTCCAAATGTATTAGAATAAGTGATGGATTGAACCTCAGACACTATCTGAAAATCTGGTCAGAGTTTACATCTTGAAATTACTTATAATGGCACCAATACAAAGACATGCAATACTTGAAAAATTCAGATTAATACTTTTGTCTCATTTTGTGAATTTCAAATCAGGGATTGTGCAGACCTTGGCTTTTGGTGTGATTGTTGAGTTTGCTAGCAATAAGCAATACCAGAATGACTGGAGTTGAGCAAGAAACACAAAAAAGATATAAGTAAGTCCAAGTGCTTTGTATTGCTGCTCAAAGGCATGGATACTGCTCTGCTCTAAACAAGGGGCTTGAGCAGCTGCTTGACAGAATCTTATGATGGAACAACACAGTGCATTGGCTGGACTTAAATGGAAAGGCTAAACTGCCTTAACCTCCATCATCACTTTCTACTAACATAATTCTTGTGTCTGACCCTTAAAGTTCACAATAATGATAACTCCCTTTATCTAAACTGATTCTAGTGCTAAAACATTTTCCTTCCCATAACCGTATTAAATTTTCTAACTCTAAATAACTGTCATAATCTAAAACTACAATATGTGGGGGTTTTATGGCTTTTCTTTCTGAATTTATTTTACAGTCCTGTATGTTTGTAGTGAATAACCATATATGTTCCTGGATGATTGCCGGTACTCATAATTTTTCTTACCCATCAGATTTTATTTTCACTGTAGTTTTTTTCCCTGGATGAATGAATGAATGAATGAATGAATGAATGAATGAATGAATGAATGAATGAACGAACACCTTGGAATGCATTCCTTTGATCTGTTACAAAGCCGAGATAAAAATGCCTAACAAATGAAACAATGAGTAGCAGACACAGCAGTCCAGGTTTGCTCTTGTTTCTGACAGGAAGCAGGCAGAACACATACAGAATACTCTGGATGTCTCTTCCTGTAATATATAGTAAAATATATATGACAGTGTGAATCTGATCTCCATTCTCTCAGGAGTATTTGGAATTACTATCTTATTGTGCCAAAGGTGAGCACAGAATCTGCGAAGGCATCTCCTCCATAAGCAGACCCTGTAGATTGGAAGCAGCTTGACTCTCTACCGTCTTCCAATGAAAACAAGAACAATTTTTGCACGGCCTTAAAAGGCAAGTTTGAGAATGATACCAAATGTTGCAGCACATGTGTTGATTTGTTATGTTACATTTCAGCTGTTAGTTATGCTAATGGAACAGTTTCACACAGTTCGTTTTGATGTATTTACTTTAATGGCTCTGTGTATGGAGCTCTCTGCAATTGCTGGGTCATACTGATTGCACAATGTTCTGCTGTCACCACCAGGCCAGTGCTGGAAATAAGATAACAAAAATTTAAAAAGGTCTGGGTCTTAATTTTCAGCTGTGCAACCACTGCAGAAAGAGTAAAAAAAAAGAGTGTAAACTGGTGTGAAATGAAACGGGCCAGAACCTAAGATTTGGCCTGCAACAATACATACAGGAAAATGAAGACAGTCTAGATAAGGTCAACTTGCATGCCTGCTGTGACCAGGGTCCCTAGCCACACAGAGGCCTGGGCAGATAAGGGAGAGAGTCAGCCTTAGGTGTACAGCCAGTTTCCCTCAGCCTCAGGCCATGAGTAGAGCTGGAGGAGAGAATAACTAAATAGACTAGCAGTTCAAGTTAGCCAGTGTGTGTGACAGGAGAGAGTGAGAATCCATGCCTTGGCCTCTGCTTGGAGTTTCTGTACAAATAACACTGATTCAGGTGAGAATTCTGGACAAACATGCAAAATTCTGTCATTTGCCCCAGTAAAACCTCCAAGTAGCAAAAGGAGAAAAATTCCAGGCAGTCCAGATGCTCAGTAACATAACCATACCAAAGAGATTATTCTCCACTGTTCTCTCTACCGATATTTGTTCCAATGTCATGTGAAGTAGCTTTGCTCTATTACAGCATATATTGAAATATGCAGATATACTCCTACACAAGGTTCACAGAGGAAAAACAGACCAAAGTCTCACAAAGTGATTTTAAAAGTTGCTTGGAGTCCTTCTAATGCTATCACACTGCAGCAGCCTCCTTCCCTGGCAGGATCAGACTATTCTGCGGTTGGTGACAACTGTCAGCACCCATGTGATGAACCAGTTCACTTTTGCTTTATTTCCTGACTTAAAGTGCATGCTGAATTAAGAATGTTCATCTGTAGGAAATATTGGTTCTGGCTGGCAATAAATAAGGGTCTAAAGATCAAATGGGGGGATGATGACTGAGAAAAAAGAATAGCAATGCCCTGACAGTCAGAAGAACAGGACTGACAACTAAAAGATCTATTTCCATGATTAAGGTCATTATCTGCAGTCTGGACTGTGCCACCTTCAATCCTAACCCACGGAGGGATGGAAGGAAGGTACAGCACAATTAGATGATATCTCTAATTTTAACACTAGACAGACAGTGTGCAAATTTGACACAGAGTAGCAGAGAGGAGACAGGATAAACCAAGTACAGTAGATAAAACTGGGCACAGGCATCAGAGCCCAGAAATCAGACTATGCATGTTTAACATTTAAATCAAGAAATTCCATTGAAATAATTCAAAGAGCTTATTTTATTGTCCACAAACAAGATTTACTTTGGTGTGTGTTGTCAGGATTTGGAAACTTTTTTACTTTCTATCTTCTTTTCATTCTTGACATTGAACAAATGGATTTGTGAAGGGAATGAATAAATGTATTTCTGAATGGAAATCACATTAATTACAACTTACTTGAGCTTGCTTGCATATCTTAAAAGGGTGAAGAGTTTCTTGGTAGAAAAGCTGATGATAAGCTTGTAGGTCAAACCAAAAGTACACACTGTTCTTCCACAACTAGAGAAGAAAAATATTGCAACTTATTGCTATCCAAGTATAACAGCTTTATAAAAGGTTGACTTTCCATTGCAAGTAATTATTTAGCTCCTTGTGTTCGTCATAAATCAAGCTCAATTAGAAATGGATTTAGTCTTCTGTTGCACACTGGCAAAGGGACAACATATTTAAAGGCATCGTCACTGTGACATTGTAACTTTTATTGTATCCTTTATGCGTAATTGGCCATTAAAATCGTTAACATTGGAGTTAATATTTGAAGAGTAACCATATTTCAGTGGCATAAAGCCAGAACTAAAGAAGAAATGCTGATAATGGACATGCAAAATTTGTGCCATGGTGAAGCAGCATTTTGCAACAATAACCAAAACTATTAAATATTGTGCGCTTGACATACATTACTGGGACTGTAATTACATTTTTATTATATGCATTTCTGAGGCATAGTCTTGGCCTCATTTCATAAATTCAATGAATATCAAAAGATCTTTCAGAAGGAGTCTAGAACTTTCCCAAGTCCTCGGTTTTAGTCATGTACCTATAGGGTTTGGATCTTGAAATTACCCTGAAACCTCCATCACTGGATAACAAAGAAAGTGTTCCAAGAAGAGGGAGGCAGGAAACTTTGCTTCTCTAACTGTAGCTTGCCAGACCTGGCAAATGCTTAAAACAGGCTCCACAGTTCTAGATAAAACCTTAAGGAAATACTTTTCAAAGAATCTGGCACCTGCAAAGGCTAAAGGACATGTGGGTGGGTGCCTATCGCCAATGAAAAAATTACTTTTATTTAGACTTCTGTCTATACACACTAAACATTTTTGGTGGAAGGTATTCAGCTTTGGAAACATTGGCTCTTGCCTTCCAGTAGCCAAAGGCATTTCCAGCTACTGCTGCTGGATCATGGGTTGTGCCAGCAGTGAAACAGATGTGCATCTTGATTGCATTCAAATCTCCCCTAAAGACTCGATTTTTCTGCAAAGCCACTAAACACTGACTCAGATTCATAACTTGTTCCAACCAATCCTCAATTTACACCCAGCAATGAATGATGGATCTGCTGACTGCAGAGAAGAAACAGTGTTATGTTTCTCAGAAATGCAGGAAGCTTCGTGGAAGATGAAGAACGTTTTTAAAACATTGGAGATTTTGGACACCAGTAACCCAACAAGTAAGAAGGAGGCAGATTATCATGAGTAATAGCATACTGGATTTTCCATCTTTTAAAAAAATGTTTTTGTGGGTTAAGACCTCATTTTTTCTGCCAAGTTAAAGACCAGTTTTTAAAAATGATTAGTCTTTTTTTATCCCTGATGGTACAATCAGATTTCCACTAGGTCTGAGACAGTTAGGATCTGACAGCTTGGTTAAGACCTGTCATTAGTTTGAATATACACATGAACAGTTTATTGTTGTTGAGGGATTGGAGTCTCACAAGTAATAATTCATCCAGTCATCAATCTTTCTTTCTCCGTCTTTTTTCAGCCTGGCTGCCCTCTATAACTTGGCATTCAGTCAATCGTGGACTAAATTATCACAGGGTAGGAAAATGCTCATACCTTATTCCCTGACTTCTCACAGAAGTGTGTGAAGTAGTAGCCTGCTCTGTTTTCCAAATAAAGAGATTGCAGCATGCTTTCCATTCTTGATTCTCCTAAGACAACACTGCCAGCAGCACTTTTCCCCTGAACAAATAAAATACAGTTATACAGCAAGGAATAATAGGCTTTCATTATTTTCAACTGTCAGTACATTGCAATGAAGGGCCATGCAGTGTCTTCAATTCAGTATCTTCATCCCTAGAAATTAGACTCCATTTTCTACTACATATGCAATTGATCATAGCTCACCATGCCATTTTCCCACTAAATACTCACACTCAATGGAATAACTCTGATAATAGAGGACATCCAGAGTAGCAAAATCATCACAGTATGATTCTTAGGTGGTTCTTCAATACTTGCAACAGGAAAACATACTTGGTCTTCATTCTGTCGTTAACTCTTTAGTTCCAAATCTGGGGAATTCCAGTTATACTAAAACATATAACTTAGCTGTCAAAAGTTGTCTCAGCTCAGGCTACTGTGTTTTGAACTAACAGAAGTTAACAGGTGGTTATTTGGTGAAGTCTCATAACTACTGTAATAGAACAAAAGATATGTGTCCTGGGGTTACTCTATTGACATTATCATCAAAATCATGAACATTTTAGGGGAGAGAAAATCCATGCCCTCTACTGTGACTGGCCCCTGGAGTGTTTGAGGAGAAATACATCCATTTTGACAATGCTGGCAGAAAAAACAGAGAATGCAAACTAGTAAATTAGCTTCTGATGATCACAAGAAAGAAACTTTGGCTGGCTTGTTGCCTCTGATAGCAGAAGTGGGAGCAGATGAGCGTGGTGGCTGACAAGAAGATTCTTTCCAAAAACAGGGATGGAGAAGAGCAGGAGTGAGCCAGACTTCTGAGGCAGACAGAGAAGGAAGGTCCCACACGTCAGTATGAAATTAAATTATGGATCCCTGCATTCATTTATTTTTGCATCATATTTGTGAAGGCAGATTGTGGGGTCCTGACTGTAGGTCCCAGTCTAGCCCTGTAAGTGTAAATGGATGGTATTTTCCTCCCTTAGTGAGTGGGAAACTCTGCATGATGAAGGTGTACAAAAACTAACAGTTCATGGTGTGAACACTTCCATAATATAGGTTTCTCACTGCAAATATCCCCTAATCACAAAGACTAGCCTTTTCTTCTGTCAAAACTAACAAATAAGTAAAATGATTGCAGTGAATTAATAAACTAAGTATGATTTTGATGTGAAACACAAACAGTGTGCTCAAGTGACCAGCAAACTCAATGCATATGTAAACAGCTCAGATTTCATAATATGTTTAGGGCTTTTTTAATTGTGAAGCAATGACTGCCTCTGGGAAACAGCAGGGTGTTTCAAGAGAGTTCTACGAACGTAAAAAGTTTCAGATATATTTTAAATTGCCAAATCTTGACATCTCGTGTGTTCAATTTGTCAGCATTTTAACAGTTATTAAGAAAAGGCTCTTCTGTGCAGCCTGTGCCTCCTGAGGTTTACTGGATTGAGGGCCTGCTTAGCAGGCAATAATTCAACAAAGAAAAGAATGAAGTACACAAGTAGTGAAGAGGAATTGTACGAGTGAAGCATTTTCCTCTTATGAATTTTAACTATTTTAATTACTTTCTAGGGCAGACTCAGTTTTCACCATAAGTCTGGTGTACTTTCCTAAGCAATTATTCCACTGAAGTATTTATCCAGTCAGTTTTCCATAATAGCATACTGAACACATGGTCACTATGGAGAAGATCAACACTTTCTAATGAAAATAAACCTCTGTGCTTGCCATGATTTCCTATCAAATAGGAGACAGATACCACACAGAAAATGCTGACATTCTAATTACACCTCTGCATCTGGCATTGACATTCCCACAATCAAACCACTTTCTCCCTATCATTGACTACTTCCCCATAATACCACAGAATAAAGTCTCTTAACCCATAATTCAAGACAATTTCCAAGCAGTACTTACCAGGAGCAGCTCAGCATAGGTGTACTTTCTATGAACCTGGTATTTTGAGTCTCCAGTGTCATCCAAAGCTAAACAATGAATCATGTCTCGGCTCACTGTCTTTGGCCTGGATCCACAAACAAACAGATTTTTCAATACCTATTTAAGAAACAACTGGGACTGTTTATAAAATAAAGAGCTAAGAAGAGACGTGAGAGAGGTAGAATGACATAGTGGATAGTAGAGGAAAAAGTACACAGAGTTCAAATTTTTAATAAATGTAAGAAAAATAGAGAAACACTTTTTCATGTGGCACACACAGACTCAGTGTATCTTTGAAGGCAAGTGCTAAAGACAGGTTAAAAGAATAGAAATGCATGCAGAGAATATAATAAATTATGCAAGATAAGGTAAACCACCTGTATTGGGAAAGATAAACCCTTTTGTGTTGTGACATAAGCAAATCGGAAACTAATCAGCCAGGGAAGAATTTTCTATGTATGCAATCTGTACCATAACTATGTTTAACTAAGTTTAACTATTATTATATTGAAGAAAAGTGTTCTTGAAAATACTACGATCTGAAAGTCTTTAATAAATGTTTGAGGTATATTGGTGTGCAGAGAGGTGCACAAGGGATTTTTGTACTTACCTCTTTCTACTTCTAGAAATGTCATCCCTCTGGGGACTTTGGCCTGATGGCAGGGTATGTGATAATGATATCTTCAAAGAGAAATTTGGTGTAGCTGGTTTTAGCAAAGTTGTCAATGAGCTTGTTCTACTTTTCTAAAAGACGTATCAAAAATAAGGCAATTCCTATTGTCTTTCAACTTTTGTATTTTCTAAATGTTCTCATTAGCAGCTCAAATACATTCAAGGATTTTCAAGACCATTTTGCCTTGTCAATCACAATATGTAAAACTGCAAACTACAAAAATCTTGCAAGATTTTCAGCACACCTTAGTAACTGCTACAGGTTAAACATTACATTTTTACCAGGCAGAAATATGTTACATGCATTTTGTGTAGAATTAGAGGATGTCAGGTGAAGAGCATGCGAACAAGTTTTGTGAATCTTTACTATGATTACCTTAACTAGCTTACCATAAACCAGGACTGTAAGGCAGACAGAACCACTCAGACTAAGAGAGAAAGGAAACATTCTGCCACATCATCACTAGCATATTTTGAACAAAATCATGCTCTTATTTTTGGGAGATACCAGTTGCTTTCAGAGTGTCCCCAGAAATTCACCCAGAGTTGCTGCTTTCTGTGCTCCTATAAGGATAATGGAGCTGGAAGATTCAGAGGTCCAGATTTCAGCGGCAAAAAAAAAAAAAAAAAAAGCAGCAATAAATGGTCCCTCAGCTGATTCTGTGAAGGTCATGTCTGACAGGTCATAGTTTTCTTCAAGTACTCAACAGGGGCTGGAAAACTTGCAGGGTTAGGATCCTGTCTGCCTGACCTACAACTAGTCCAGGGTTGTTAGCACACCTTGTGAAGCCAGGAATGATCTCTCTAGG